GACTCAATTTGCACTATTTCTGGCAGTCTGCAACCCCCCAAAATAGTTTACCTTTTGTATCCCATGAAATCTTCAGAAATGTGCATTATCACACCTATGCCCATCCATCTACTTTGTATGCATTCGGCTGGCTGTGCATTTTTGGCAGAAGGAAGGTGGATAGATGCAAATAGATGTGAATTTGTGCAGGGAAATGAAAACAATTAACTATCCATGTGAATGTGGAAATGAGCACTATGTGTAGACTAGCCCTCCAACTTATTGTGGCTGTATCATACATGACAAGATTTATTCAGAAGAATTTTTCCATTGCAGTCATGTAAGCAGAGATAGTATGTTGTGCCCAAGATTACGCAGTGGCTTCCATGGCTGAGCTGGGAGGATTATAACCCTGGTCTCCTGTAGTCCCAGTCCAACTCAATCCTCTGCAACATGTTAGTTCTTGTATAACTTTTACACTCTGTCTGATTGCAGTAGATTTTCTCTTGAGCATGACTAAGGGGCTATGCAGACTGGCAATATATGCCGGCATCAGGGTGGAATAGGGGCGTGGTGACCACTTGCCACATGCCCTGATTCTACCCTGATGCTGGCATAGGCAGCATCACAACATTTCTGCAGCGCAGTGTTTAGACATGCTGCGCTGAAGAAACGAGGCAAAGCCATGGCGGCAGCAGGGATGGGTTTTTGCTGGCTCCAAAAAGAGCAGCTTTCTGCTGCTCCTTTTGGAGCCAGCAAATCGCCAGATTGGGGCTGCAGCATGTGCTCAAAGGGGCAGTAGCAAGCCAATCCAAAGGGGTCATATGTTTAGCCCCTAAATCTAGCGCAGTATATATAAAAATTATGTCTTTATGGCTACATCAATTTCTAAACAAGGAAATAATTGGTACCTGTTCTCAATGAGGCCTAAAGTGGGTTGACCTAGTCTTTAGATGCAAAATCTTCTCTTAATCAAAAAGAACTAAACATTTCTCTCTCTTTTTGGTATATGTGTACTTGTCTTAATTGGATGTAATCTGCCTTGGATCCTTTATACGGATAAAGGTGGGGTAGAGATTAATTAAATAATAAATAAATAAACCAACAGTTATTGCATCCAGCTGTTAGTGCACCCATCAGCTATTTAGATGGGTGCGGATGTGGGACTGAATCTCTCCCCCATATACACATTTTTGCCTGCTCTTTCCTTGAATAGATAATAAGAACAAATACATTTACAAAACCAGTTATTGAGTCCTAGAGAGGAGCCTTCCACATAGCACTGTTTGGCACACATTGGACAGAAGCCCACACTAAGATTGCATAGGAGTAGAGAATCTGCTCCCTGTCGTCCCCTTCAGAGGAAGGGGAAGCCCCTACCTTTGAAGCCGCCTTCTTGCTTTGGGAGAAACTCCCAAGTTGACAACAGAGCTGAATGTCCCAGAGGGGTCTCTTGTGCTCCTTAATCCAATTCTGGACTTCCCCTGAGTTTCCCCCCTCCCTCCTTTGGGAAATTGAGTGCACCAAGCAGGTAGGACACAAATGAGAATGGAAAGGAGGAAACTATGGACAAGGTTCACAGTACACAACAAATACCAATGTAGTGTGACATATCTGGATCAATGGTTGAAGCATGGCTGGCCACCCATTGTGCGATTGCAGTGAGTATAGTTGCAGTCTCCATTCATGTGCTCCTCTGTGTAATTAACTCTACTAGTGCATGCACAGTTGTCCCATGTGTGCAAGTGTATTTATGCTACCATCAGCTGAATATGACTGTTACCCATTGTAAAACAAAAATCACCCTGCATGCTTGGCATGACTTGTCCTTGCACATGTCATTAGACGAATTCCAGCCTCTTCTGCTCAAAATTGAAGTTGGCAATATGGCTCTCATGGCCTTGCAGAAAGCTGGGAGGCTGGGGCTTTTCATGCAGGCTCAACAACACTTTCCAAAGATCCAGAAGCAGTATATACCCCCACCCTGGCCTCTGTCTCTCTTTGAGAGATGTGGCTAAAAGTGCTGTTCTTAAGGCCTAACCCAAAGTAGAAGTTTTCACTTGAACTGGAATATCTATTGAGTGAGTGCCCTGGTGGCGCAGTGGTTAAATGCCTGTACTGCAGCCACTCACTCATAGACCACAAGGTTGCAAGTTCAATACCAGCCAGGGCTGAGGCTCGACTCAGGACTGCAACCTTCCGAGGTCGCTAAAATGAGTACCCAGCTTGTTGGGGGGCAATCAGCTCACAGTTGTAAACCGCTTAGACATCCCATGTGCGATATGAAGCGGTATATAAATGAAGTTGCTTTGCTTTGAATGCTATCTTGTGCAGAAAATTGTAGGTCATGCTGCCCCTAAATCTAAGCATTAACCCTTTGGTTACCTGGAAGTAAGCAGTCACTCATACAGCTGTGTTATCCTTAGTGGACAGCAAAAAGACAAATAAATGAGACCTTGAACAGATCAAACCAGAACTCCCTCTGGAAGCCAAAATGACGAAACTGGGACAATTGTATTTCTGGCCACATCATATGACATGACTCACTCATAAATACATTAATACTTGGAAAGGTAGAGTGTAATAGAAAGAGAAAAAGACTACATGCCAGATGGTTAGATTCAATTAGGGAGGTCATGGGCCTAAATCTTCAAAACAGTTGTGGAGGATAGGGAGGCTTGGAGATGTCTTATCCACAGCGTCACCTTGAGTCAGAGCTGACTTGAGGGCAGTTAGCAACAACAAGCAACCCTTATCATTTCCATAAATGTCCACATGCAGAATTATGCACTGATGTGCTGTACAACCTTTGTATAGTTGTATAAGATAGCAAATTTGCACAACTGAACCAAGATGCCAAATGTGCAACATGTTCAAGCATTCCATACACATGAGTGACCCATTGGCATCTTTTTTTTTTTTTTTTTTTTTGCAACTTTATTGGAACCAGGCATCCTACGTTGGACAAAAAAATATGTGCATCTACTTCTGTAGGGGATTATGCTTGCACAGAATACCAATAGGATTCCAAGCAATGTCTTTCTCCAGCTATGGATAAAGAGAAAAAAGAGAGCCCGCCTGCCTTCTATCAGGCTCATATGCCACCTGTATGGATCAGAGTGGATGTGACCCAAATTCTGAACAGAGCAAACCTATTCTGAGATTACATTCAGATGAACAAATGGTATGCCCATGCTTACTGGCTGGGGATTTTGGAAATTATAGTCCCACCTCTCCCAAATTCTGGATTTGAGTTTTGGAGTGTGGGAATACCACTGCAACACTAGTGTAGACATGTCCTGATCTAAATGGATCCAATTGTGTGACTCGATATAAGCCACTTTCCTACTGCGTCAATCAAATTGCTAGTCCCAGCTAAAGTGGATTTACTGAATCAGTTGCTGAATGGTAAATGTCATGTCAATCCTATTAATTCAGTGGATCTACTCTAGTTGGGACTAAAATGTTGATATTCTTCGGTTTCAGAAGTAGTACACAAGGGTGGGAATTAGGTATACTGTATTTTGTTGGATTGCAGCTCCCAGGATTCTTCTTCACTACTGGCTATGCTGATGAAGGATGCTGGGCGTTGTAGTTCAATGGTATTTGGAAAGCAGCACAGTTCCCACCCACCCCAGAAATACAGCATTTTAGCTCAGAAGCATATCTTACATAAGTCTTGGTGCTGACTGGGTTTGACCTCCAACATCCTTCACTTGCAGGTGCTCATTGAAGCAATGGCTTCAATCAAGCCACACTCCTAACTCGAGGACATCCCAGAAGGTTAAAGATTCTGATTACCTTGCTGGTTTTGCCTCCTCCCCCCCACCATCCCCAATCTTTTATACAGTTCTCCCTGTACTGTGTTGGAATGACAGCTGGCAAAGAGCCTAGAACAAGATGTGTCACTTATGCAAGGAGTATAATCCAATTCAAACATTACTGTGTGGTCTACCCTGTCTCTGTCAGGTGCTGTTCTTTTGACCCAAGGTGACTAATAGATATATTTCCTGGCTTCAGGGATTGAGTTAATTGCATTTTTTAAAAAACAAAAAACAAAACAGGCTACTTCTTAAAACAGTCCTTGTTGACTGTAGGAGTTCAGCCAAAGTATAGTTCTATTGATTTTTTCCCCATACACCTGAAGGATCACAAAGTAAGCCTACAGTCTAGGACATGACGACTCCTGAATATCCTATACCTGGCTGATCTAGGTATAATTTTCTGTCTGTCTTGGGGCTTCAAGGGTCCTTTGGGGTAACAAGGATCGCCAAAAAGGGGGGAGTAAAATATGGAGGTGGCAAGAGTCCTTTTACAGTTCTGTGGGGGGAAATGGGTGCTTCCTATATTACCAGCACAGACAGAAATTTGCAACTCATTTGCAAAGAATTAAATTCCCTGTATCAGAAGCGTCCTCAAGAGACTTTGTTGCTGCATGCCTTCAAGTCATTTCCATCTAAGGTGACCCTATCATTGGAAAGATTTGTTCAGAGGTCACCCAGTGATTATCCTGGCTGAGCAGGGAGTTGAACCCTGGTCTCCAGAGTTGTAATCCAACACTCAAACCAGTACGCCATGCACTCACTTGTTTTTGGGGAGGCAGAAAAAGGACAGTCCAGGGAGTTTGAAGGAATAAAAAACCCAGAAAAACAGCTGCAGGGGCCACATGCATGCTTGTGGCTTTGGCTTGCCTATCTCTGTTCTAAACTAACTTCTCATACTATTGCCAGTCAAAAAGCACCATTGAGCAACTGCTCTTCCAGTTATTAATGTTTTCTCCATGTAAATAAAGTTGGAAGGAACCAAGAATAATGGTGTTGCTTATTTTATTTATTTTAAAAATAGCAATCACAGTAGGCCCAATTTTCATCCAGATCATGGCACATGAAGAGAAGTTCCAACATTCCTCACCCTTTTGGTCTTCACAAAAATGTTTCCCACTGGCTTCTTGCTAGCATCAGAGGGACATTCCCATTGGTGTTAATGAGAGGTTTCCTCCAAGGCGAATATGCCAGTGTATGGTTGATTTTCACTGGGGGGGGGGACACAGGCCAGGCATGATTCATCCTCCCATTGAATGCTACGGTCTGGTTGAAACCTCTCTTTCCCTGTTCTACACACTGCAAAATAATTGCTAAAGATGCATTTCACATAACATCATACCATACCTGAATATGTCTCATCTGGTCTGAATTTGGAAGCTAAAGAGGATTGGGCCTGGTTTAACCTGGATGGAAGACCACTAGAAGATAGCAGGGATCTCCACATAGAGCCAGAAAATAATCCTACTAGAAACTCTGGAGAGCTACTGCCAGTTAGGGCAGACATTAGGGTTACATAGACTATAGATCAAACTCAGAATTTGATTCTGTGTTCCTAGTTTGGTCTTGTGTCTGTGCTGTGTTGCTGGAATAGTGGACTATTTGAGGATTTCCCCCTCCTTGGTTGTGCTGTTCTACCCTGTACTTTGTGCTAAAAGTTATAACTTCTTGGCCACTTGTCCTATTAATGTGATGTTCAGTAGCTAACTAATAGAGCAGTTTCCAAAGATGTCAAGTGCTGACTGGCGGTCTTACCAAAAGTCTGGATTTTTCAAAGAGAGAATGAAGCTGAAGCTGGCTGGGGGATTCTGCAAGATGAAACTAGAACATGGCCCCCTTGATTCTAGAGAGCTATCTGGAAATCCACCCGTCAGAGATTTGAATCAAGAGAACAAAATAATTTTTTGTGTGGATTTCCTAAATAGCCAGTATACTACTTGTACAGTGGGCCCTTGGTATCCACTGAGGTTTGGTTCCAGGACCCCTGTGGATACTAAAATCCATGGATGCTCAAGTTCCATTAAATTTAATGGCATAGTAAACTGGTGTCCCTTATATAAAATAGCAAAATCAAGGTTTGCTTTTTGGAATTTATATCTTTTTAGAATATTTCCAAACCGTGAATGCTTGAATCTGTTGATAAAGCATCTATGGATATGGAGGGCTGACTGTAATTATATTTATTTTAGGTGCAAAAGTGATAGGACAAACAAACACACTTCCTTTTGGCTTGAAGAAATCTGCAACACTATAAGACAGGGGTGGGCAAGTGCAGCCCACAAGCTATACATGGACTATGGAATTCTGGGACTAGAGCTTTGCTCTAGTGCCAGAACAAATTACAGTTCCCAGCATTCCGTAACATTGAGCCATGGCAGTTAAAGTGGTGGCAAAACACATTATTTCTGGGGATGCAGCCTTAGTGTACCTACCTGGTGGCTCCTGGGAGGCCTTCCCAATGGCTACAAAATTACATTGCAAGAATAGTTCTTTAATTGTTTGAAATGTTGGCCTTAAGTTGGCTATGGGCTGTTCTGTAAGCATTTATTTTTAAAAAGTCACAAAAATATTGTGGCTGGTTTTCTGTAACAAACTCTGTGGATAATTAAAATATGTAATTAAGAAGAAGAAAGCAGAGATCTTAACTGACATTTCAGTTTACCCGTAGAAACTGGTCTTAGGCAGTTTTGGGAAGAATCCAATGCAATTTAAAAGCTTTTAATGAAAACATAAACTTTTCTTCTGAGTTCTAAGCTTCTATTGTTCTTGCTTTAAAAAAAGCCACTGAGCCAGCAAATTGTTTTCTTATCTTGTAAATAAAAATGACTGTGGGTGACTGGTGGTGGTGGTGTTATTTGGTCAGACTGTTTCTTTTCTAGTTTGTCCATTTTTTAAGTTGCAGGTTTTAGCAAATACAAGCAAGTTGTACCTTTCCAACACCAGAAAACAAACAAAGCCAAACAAGCTTTTGGATGGAAAAAAGTTTTACATTTTAAATTGTTTCCTGAAGTTCCTGTAATAAAAGCTATACATGCTAAAAGTGTTTACTGGATTGGGAAACAATAGTGTAATAATATTGTTTTGTTTTGTTTTACTACATAGGGTATAATTTTTGCAGTTGAGCAAAGAAAATATTTTGTATCCTGACTCATGTGATTTTCTGTTATGAAAGAGAGATGTTTGCGTGTGTATTTTTGTGTTTATCTTGCGCATGCAAGCTGGTGCATGCAGTGGGCAGGAAGGGACTTTGCTTGCAGCAATAGGAAAAGTTGCACTCTTTTGGGTTGTGGATGCACAATCAGATATGGCCATTCTGGCAAAAGATTGTATTCCCAACTGTGGGTTGTCTACACTGTTAAAAAAAAACTCGAACTCACTTCAAATTGTTGGTGATCCAGGCAAATGACATTCTGACTAATTTTTGCAGCAGTTGGGGAGCTTTTAGATGCCTGCAGGTTTAATCCACATAAAAAATAATCTTGATTTCCCCCCAGAATTTTCTGGAAAATTTGGATGAGTAGGTATGTGACCAGTGGACTTGCATTGGCAGTGAAGGGAGGACCTTATGGTGGTTGAAGCTGGATAGACAAGAGTCCAACAGTCACATGGTCATTTCCAACATGAAGAGACAATTTTCAAGAGAAGGGAGGTTCGAGCCACTTCTTTACTATTTTTTAAATAGGTGCTGCATTTGTGTGCATAATTGAGTATCAGTATATTTCCTTGGTAAATGGCAATGGCAAACCCCCTCTGAAGAAACTTGCCAAGAATTTCGCATGAAAGGTTCATTGCCTTAGAGTTAACATAAGTTGGATATGACTTGAAGGTACACAACAACAAAAAGAAATATTTACGCCTGTATCTGTACACGTCTGATTCAGGGAAACTAGCTTGTAGGCCACAATTTTACAATGTCGTGACCTCAGAATGGGGGAACATGTGGCCACTAAAGCCATATTTGCCACAGTTTGCCTTGATGACCATAGTAATAGTGTAGATAAGGTGCAAATCTGGAAAACTTTTTACGTTACATGTAGATATTCCCTACATCTTTACCAGGTAAGATCATTGAGTGGAACAGACTGCGAGTGCCCTCTTGTTACATGATCGTCTTGGAAGAAAAACAAACTCTTTCTCATTGTGAGATTAGGGGAACCCACTGAGTGGAGTAATCTGAGGCTCAAGAGATTAAGGAGAAAGGGGATCCCTGTCTTGTAGATACCTACTAGTCACCAATTCATGTTTAGACAGCTTAATTTTAGGCTGGCATCCTGGTAGTGACATATATCCTGAGGTGGATATTTACACAATGCTGAAGGGATGTTGGATTGCAGCCATACGACCTTATCAAACACTGCCCACGAAGCGAAGGGTAAGCGAAAGCTTAC